GCAATGTTATCCATAAATTGTTATGCTTCACACAGCCAGATGCCTTTGCATAGTCAATAAAAACACAGGTAAACATCTTTCTGGTATTCTGTGCTTTCAGCCAAGATCCATCTGACATCAGCACTGATGTCCCTCATTCCACATCCTCTTTTGAATCCGGCTTGAATTTCTGGCAGTTCCTTGTCAATGTACTGCTGCAAACATTTTTGAGTTATCTTCAGCATAATTTTACTTCCATGTAATATTAAAGATATTGTTCAATAATTTCTGCATTCTGTTGGATCACCTTTCTTTGGAATGGGCACAAATATAGATCTCTTCCAGTCAGTTGGCCAGGTAGCTGTCTTCCAAATTTCTTGGCATAGATGAGTGAGCACTTTCAGCATTGCATCCATTTGTTGAAACATTTCAATTGGTATTCCATCAATTTCTGGAGTCTTGTTTTTTCCCAATGCCTTCAGTGCAGCTTGGACTTCTTCCTTCAGTACCATTGGTTCTTGATCATATGCTACCTCCTGAAATGGTAGAATGTCGACTAATTCTTTTTGGTGCTATGTGTATTCCTTCCATCTTCTTTTGATGCTTCCTGCGTCCTTCAGTCTTTTGCCCATAGAATCCTTCAATATTGCAACTCTCAAGGCTTGAATTATTTCTTCAGTTCTTTCAGCTTGAGAAATGCCAAGCGTATTCTTCCCTTTTGGTTTTCTAACTCCAGGTCTTTGCACATTTTGTTATAGTGTTTCACTTTGTCTTCTCAAGTGGCCCTTTGAAATCTTCTGTTTAGCTCTTTTACTTCAATTCTTCCTTTCGCTTTAGCTGCTCTATGTTTAAGAGCAAGTTTCAGAGTCTCTTCTGACATCCATTTTGGTCTTTTCTTTCTTTCTTGTCTTTTTAATGACCTTTTGCTTCAGGTATGATGTCCTTGATATCAGTCCACAACTCGTCTTGTCTTTGGTCATTAGTGTTCATTGCATCCAATCTATTCTTGAGATGGTCTTTAAATTCAGGTGGGATGGTTAAGCATTCAGTTGCTAACCAAAAGGTTGGCAGTTTGAATCCACCAGTCACTCCTTGGAAGCCCTATGGGGCAGTTCTACTCTGTCATCTGTTTATCAGTCGGAATCAAGTTGATAGCCCCTAACAACAAAAACAGTCCTGTAGTTAACTCAGATAACCCCTCAGCAGCATTTGATGATGATGAGATGTAGAGGTTATTTCTGCCCTCTTACTAAAGCCTTCCTACTTTCTAACTTTCTAGCTCTCACGGAAGAGCCTTTGTCAGCTTGTTATTTGCCATTTCTCTTCATGTTAACAGTTTTTGTATTCCCTTCATTAATCTCCTTTCAAAACTTTATCCCTTCCCTTATTCTCCTTGCCTCCTGCCCACAGTAATATCAGATATTTTTCTGATAAGCTCACTTCATATAAACATCAGCAATACTGGTCTATAACCTTTAGCATACAGTGTGCCTCCATAATTTTGAGGGTAGAGGTAGTGGTGGCTCCTGGGGTGAGAGGAATAAGGCCTGACTGATAACATGTCTCAAGGGTGGGGGACTGTGTAAAATTCATGCTTTTAATCTCTGTAACCCCTAGAGCAATTATGGTATAATTTAAAGATTCCTTGAAACTTACCTAAGACTCTAAGGGTGAAAAGGGTACAGTTTTCCCTCTAATAATCCCTTCCCATACACTGGCATTTAAAGCTCTAGAATAGCTCCAGTTTGTCTCACCATGTTAGTCCGTATTAGGGAATCAAGATGTTAACTAGAGATGAGTGGATCAAAAGAAATCCCCTTTGCTGATAGCTGAGTATCCACCCAATGGCACAGCAGAAGAAAGGACTGTTGATCCGCCATAAAGATTATAGCCAGAAAAACCCTATGGAGCAGTTCTACTCTGTAACACATAGGGTCGCTATGAATTAGACTCACTGTAATGGGTTTGGTTTTGGTTTAAGTACCCACAGGTGCTCATGAAGTTACTCTGGCATCATATTCTTGTGCACCCTTAGATGTAACTTTCCATATTTCATACCGAGCAGTGTGTGGCTATGGACTACTTGATACGCTTTTGGAGCAGACGTAATGGAAAATTCTGCTCTGCGGTGTGTGTTTTGTGGGAATCTGGCTGTAGTCACCAAAATTCTTTTGATTTTACCTTGGAATAAATGCCACTGTTACTTCTCAAGAAGGCTTAGAGATGTCATCGTGTTAAAAGTAATTGGAGATGACACAATGAAGTTTTACTGTTAAGAAAATCTCTCTTGGTATTGTTTTTATAATAAAAATGATATAACCTTGGATTCTTCCATAGGTGCCAAAGAACGTTCTGAGATCTATGAAGCATTCGAAAATATCTATCCTATTCTAAAGGGTTTTAAAAAAACCTGAGTATACCATGAACATCTCACAGTATACTGATTTGAATATGTACCTAAGCCCAGCATAGAAATTTCTGTATTATACCTTTAATTATGGATAGTTTATGTACATTTTTCACATATTAAAGGATGATTCCATGTGAATAGCCATGCTTAAGAAATGAAGGAAAAAAAAACTTATTCAAAATGATTCCTGCATATTATTTTAAAAACTGAACAATTAAATTTATTTCAGAATTTGAGAGATTTAGGGCCTTGCTAGCATGAGATTGTAGCATCATTAAAAGTCAATATTCTACTCTTGTTAAATATGTAGTATATTAACAGGTGTTTTCAGAAAATATATAGCAATATATAGAAATTTCAAATAAGTGCTTAAACTAGATATGTAATACCATCAACTAGCAGGGTGGGAATTAATGTGTCTTTTTTCCTTGTTTAACATTGAGTATGATGATTCTAGCCATTAGGTATCAGGCACTGTGAAGGATCTTGTCAAAATATAAATGAAAGTCTGAACCTTAAGAAAATTAAATATGCTTTTGTGTGCAATGCTCAGAGAAAATGATTTGTCTTAATCTTAAATTTTAAGTAACCATTTGGGTTTAGTGTATATTCTGAAATCAATATAAGGTATTTTGCTTTTACCTACTTTTATGATCCTGTGTAATTGTATTAAAAGCAGACTTGGTAAGACCAAGAAAATGGAGCAAAGTGTTCAGGTTTAAAACCTAATTAAATTGTTGAATTGCCAGCATTTGATGATGGATGAGATGTGGAGGCTAACAGGGAGGAATGGGGCTAACATGACTCATGGCCCTAAGTGGTCAGTGATTATGTCCTTCAAGACAAGGAAGCAGGTTTTTGGGGAGGGAGAGTTCACTTTCAGACATGCCTTGTAGTAGGCGGTTATGAACTGTTGGATCTGGAACTTGGGAGAGAAGTCTCAGCTAGAGAATTCAGGTGAGACATTTTATTAGACTACTAAAATAGTCCTTGAGAATCACTGGTCTAGATAGTTTGTGGAGTCTCTGAGTGGTGCCAACGGGTAAGTGCTTGGCTGCTAACAAAGTTTGGCGGCTCATGTCCACCCAGAGCACCTTGGTAGAAAGGCCTCACTATCTACTTCAGAAAAATCAGCCACTGAAAACCCGATGGACCACAGTTCTACTGTGACACAGGTGGAGTCACGGGAATCAACTCTACAGCAACTGGTTTAGATAATTTGTACATTTCCTTATGACCTATAAACTTTTTTCCTTCTGTAGTTTACAGGCATATTCAAACACTAATTAATATAATCCCCCACCCACCCATCCCACTTACCCTCTGTCATGGATTGAATTATGTCCCCCCAAAATATGTGTCAACTTGGTTAGGCCATGATTCCCAGTATAGTGTGGTTGTCCTCCCTTTTGTGATTGTAATTTTATGTTAAAGAGGATTAGGGTGGGATGGTAACACCCTTACTAAGGTCACATCCCTGATCCAATGTATAGGGAGTTTCCTTGGGGTGTGGCCTGCACCACCTCTTACAAGAGATAAAAGGAAATGGAAGGGAGCAGAGATGGGGGCACCTCATACCACCAAGAAAGCGGGCCATGAGCAGAGCACGTCCTTTGGACCCAGCGTTCCTGCACAGAGAAGCTCCTAGTCCAGGGGAAGATTGATGACAAAGACCTTCCTCCAGAGCCAACAGAGAAAGATAGCCTTCCTCTGGTGCTGAAGCCCTGAATTTGGACTTCAAGCCTGGTAGACTGAGAAAATAAATTTCTCTTTGTTAAAGCTATCCACTTATGGTATTTCTGTTATAGCAGCCCTAGATGACTAAGCCCCGCAGAAAGAAACTTGCAGGGAAATTCTAACCGTTTACCTCCTTCAAATTCTTTCTCAGAGCATTGCCCAATGTAGGGGAGGGGTGTTGGCTATTAAATGAATTAAAATTCACTTATCAGAAAGGTACAACTTTGATTTCCACATTCAGTATGGTCCTTTCCATTGGTTAGCTATGATGAGTATCACTTGATTACTATTAAACATTATTAATCTTCGTGACATTAGGTAGGTACTGTATCTCCATTTAACAGATGAGAAAACAGGCACAGAGAAGCTAGGGAATTTGCCCCAGGTCACACAGCTAGTAGGTAGGTAAATAAAAATTTACCCAACTTCGTTTGCTGTAGTTTTAGTCAAATTTAAAAGTATCTATAGCGAATTGAAGAAATTCCCGTATTTTCCCAATCCGTTTTCCCAGAATCCTTAGGACATTGTATTACTATTTTTTGCACAACTTTGAGGCGTTGACTAGTAGTAGCCTTGGAATGATCCAGGAGGTGATGACATTTTGTTTGGCAGACTGCCCCTCGAACATAATGTTTCTGTGCTTGGGGACCGGCTGCCCTCAGCAGACAGGAAAACCAACGGCGTCCGGGGCAGGCGCCGACCAGCCACACCCCTTCCCGCTGCCGCTGCCGGGGTCGTCTGGAGGCTGGGCGAGGGGCGGGAAAAGAGCTCCCGTTCCGTCAGGACCCCCGCCCTCCCTCCGGGCACCTCCCCAAGCCCCTCCTCTTCGCCCAGGATGCACCTGGTTGAAAACAAAATCCCACGTGACTGGCTCTGCTCTCAGGCCATCATGGCGTCTCCCAGTGGGAAGGGAGCCCGGGCGCCGGAGGCTCCTGGCTGCGGGTCTCGGCAGCTCGCCCGGGACTTAGAAGACTCCGTGGACGACGCGGAGGGGCTGTACGTGGCGGTCGAGCGGTGTCCGCTGTGCAACACCACCCGCCGGCGGCTGACCTGCGCGAAGTGTGTCCAGAACGGCGATTTCGTCTACTTCGACGGCCGCGACCATGAAAGGTACGGCAGCCGTCACGGGCCTATTGTTTTTTCCCCCGGTGTCTCCCCGGGCCAGGCCATCAGAGGCTGAAGTTTGAGGCGCCTCTGCGGCCACCGGAGCCCGACGAGAGGAGGGAAGGGTGGCTGCTTTGCGCTGGCACTTTGCTCCGAGAGGAATGGGTGGGGGCGGGGGGCAGATGAGAGATGGTCGCCGTTTTTCCCATTACCCACCCTGGAGGAGTCTGATCCCGCCGTACTTTTGGATATTCGGGAAAGGGATTAATAGATGGTGACACTCTGGAGAAGTCTTCCCTGTTGCTGCTATGAGTTAGATTACCAGGTCTTTGCTACACTCCCATTCAAAAGCTTGATTTAACCTTTGTCTTCGAAGGCATATTCATAATCATTCTCTAGAGGAGAGACCAGAAGAGAATCAAGTAACTGGTTAAGAAGGATTCAGGTCTGATGGCCTTTGTCAGAGGTGTATCTGGTTATCAGACACGCGGACTCTAGTGTGTGAGTGAACTAGGACTAGTCAGTTCTTTCCTTTTTCTCTCCCCACCACCAACAATTGTTTTGGATGCTTAGGAATTTGGAGTCGTGTTTTGACTTTGCTTTAAAATCCAGACTGGGTGTTACAAGCCCTTAGTTAGAATTGAATTTAGAAACATGTTTTGGCCTCATTTTGAGACCCAAAGGGAGAGCTACAAGCCCCTGGTTAAGAAAATTGAAAAGATGAGTGTGGCTAGCTGCAGGGTCTCCCAGCTTTTTTATCAACAACTTAATTAGTGTTAATGACAGTAAAATAGCTAATTTTTTTAGCACAAAAGTTCCAAGCACTCTACAGGTATTAATTCCTTTACAACAACCCCAATAAGGTATTATTCCCAGTTTACTGCTAAGGAAACTGTGCAGTAAGTACCTTGTCCCAGATCACACATTAAAATCCAGGCATCCTCTATATTTGGAGATGTTTCGAGTTCCTAGTATTCATTCCTGTGATCATGGATGGAATTCTTTCTCCCTTTCTTTTTTGAGGAGATTTGTCTGACATAATCTTTGTAGTTCATTGCATGTCCTTTTGAAGCACTTGGTAACTTTAGAAACGGCCAGTGTAACAAGAAATAGCTTTAAAAATTAAAACAGTTGTTTTATTATAAGAATGCTGGGTATGAGATGGAAATGCCTAAGTGATGGAATTTAACAGGGGTTCAGTTCTGGATCCTCTTCTCTATCTACGCTTTTTTCCAGATTCATTCCCACGATTTAAATACCATTTCTATGCTGAAGTGCCAGACTTACATGTCCAACCCAGAACTCTCTTGAAGTCCAGAAAACACCTAGCTATTCAACATCCCTGTTTAAACTTGTAATGGATATTGCCAACTTAATATGGCGAACTGAATTTCTACTTTTTCCATAAATCTCTTCTTCCCATGCTAATACCTACTTAGTAAATGGCAACCTGATTATTCCTTTGGCTCAGGCCAAAAAACCTTTTAGTCATCCTTAATTCCTCTCTTTTTCTTAACACCACCGTATCTAATCCCGTCAGCAAATCCTGTCTGCTCTTCACCACCACTTGCTCTGATCCACCAGAGGATTATTTTCTCTTATCTCTCTGGTTTCACCCTTGCACCCTTACAGTGCAGTTAGCAAATTGCAGCCAGAGTTTGCCACTCCTCCATTCCTCCACTCTTAAGTCCTCCAGTGGTTTCCCATTTTACCCAAAGTAAGAGCCAAAGTCCCTAACCAGAGTTCTATATTTTCTTCTTCCCCCAACCTAAACTACTACTGATTTCTTGCTTAGTCTACTTACCTACTCTGCTGTATGGCCCTGGCCTCCTTGCCATTCTTTAAATGTACCAAGAATGCTCCTGCCCCAGGGCCTTTGCAGTTTATTGAGACAGACAGGAACTCTCAGAAACCCTCAGGGCTGCCTCCTTTGTTTCTTTTAGGCCTCTATTCACACATTAGACTTTCTCACCATTCAATTAAAATAGAACCTCCTTTCCCACTTAACCTGCTTTTTTGTCTTCTGTAGCACTTACCACCATCTAATGTATGTATTAATTTGTCTAACTGCCACCCCCCCACAAGATGTAAGCTGTATGATGGCAAGACTTTATCTGTTTTGTACTCTGCTGTATCCTCACATAATAGAAGCTCAATAAAAATTTGTTGAATGATTGAATGCATCTGCCCATCCTTCCCAAACTAAGCATTTTCCTGTACTATTTCAGTATAATCCATCATGACCCACTTGTTACTAAAGCCAGAAATCTGAGAGTCATGCTAGACTTTTCCTTTTTTTCTCATATTTCCCACATATAAATCATTGGCAAGTCTTACTTGATCAGACTCCAAAATATATCTTAAATCTGTCCACCTCTAGTCCAAACTGCCGTCATCTCTTTTCTTGACTACTTAACTTGGTCTCCTTTCTTTTACTTACGGAATCCCTGGGTGATGCAAAGGGTTGACACACTCAGCTGCTAACCAAAAGGTTGGAGGTTGGAGCCCACCCAAATCTGCATTGAATTGAATCCAAGCTCCACCGCTTTCTATGTGACTTTGAACAAGTTTCTTAACCTCTCCTATCATTGCCTTTTTTCATTTTGAAAATGGTGGTTTCTGATAGTGATTACATAAGAGCATGCATTTAAAGTTCTTAGCACAATGTCTAGCATTTATTAACCACTCAAAAAATAAACTCATGCCATGCACTCTCTTATTCACTGCTCCACAGTCACCGGCCTTCTTTGAAATCCTCAAACACAAAACTTTCCACCATTGGGCCTTTGCCCTTGCCAATCTGTCTGTCAAGAACCTTTTCCTCCTGATTGGCACCTTGCCTTTCAAGTCTCAACTTACGTGTCACCTCCTCAGTGAGACCTTTGCTGACCTCCCTTGCTAAGGTAGGTTCCCTATTCCCCCCACCCCCCACCCCCCATTATTTTCTATTGCAACACTACATTTCTTTCATGGCACTAAGTTTGACGTGTAAAATAATTTATTGGAGGAAGCTAGGCACATCTACGAGCCTGGGTAGCGCAAGCCATTCGCGATTGGCTGCTAACCTAAAGGTGGGCGGTTCAAACCCACCCAGCGGCTCTGCAGAAGAAAGTCCTGGAGAATTGCTTCCGTAAAGATTGCAGCTAAGAAAACCCTATGGGGCAGTTCTTCTCTGTAACACATGGGGTCACCATGAGTCGGGGAACAACTTGACGGCAGCTAACAGCAATAGCAGCAGCATCTATGCCTAGAGTGTAGTTCCATGAAGGCATGAACTCAGGGTTTGTTCTATCAGATCAACAGTACTTAGGCGCAGTAGCAGTCGGTAGCACATAGTAGGCATATAGCTGAGGGAACAGCAATGGCAATGTAGCTTTCAAAACTGAAGTATAAATTCTTTGCTAAATCTGAGCATTAAAGTGAACTTTCAGAAGAGGATGTGTTATAGTGGATTTCGTTTCCTGACCAAGCAGACACATGAAGAGCAAATACTAGAGCCACTCAAGATTTAGAAATAAGAAATTTTAGGAATCAAGTATAACAGGACCTTCACAGTGGTCTGCTCAGCCAGCTTTGCTTCACTCTCCGTCTTTCCCGCACTGCGTGTTCCTTAAGAAAAGGGGTTTGCTTGTTTTACTTGTTTGTTTCCAGAGTAGGGCCCAATATGACAGGTGCTATAGGATGTCAGTCGGATGACAGAATCTCTTGAGACCCAGCACCACTGTCCTAATAGCCGAGTAATTTTTAATGAGCATTTTCTGGGTACAGTTGTCTGCATAAAATAATCTGGCAGTTTGCAAAGGAGAAAGATGAGTTCTCTTCTGTCAGTAATTTCTGCTGACCAGTAATAAGCCTTGGATTACATGAGTCAAAGGTTAATCCTGAAATATTCTACAGCTTTTATTATTTATGACAATCTTTGTAATCACTACTTGCTTTCAGACTCTTTTTCCTTTAACTTTATGAAAAATCCTTCAGTAACTGTGGAAAACCACTTGGGATTAAACCTGGAGTGTTACAAACCAAAACCAAACCATTGCTGTTGAGTCGATCCCCAACTATAGGACAGAGTAGAACTACCGCATAGGCTTTCCAAGGCTATAAATCTTTATGGAAGCAGACTGCCACATCTTTCTCCCGCGGAGCCGCTGACGGGTTCAAACCACCAGCCTTTAACCACTGCAACAGCGGGGCTCCTTGGAGCCTTACAGCACAATTTAGAAACCCTGTTTAACTTCTGATTCTTTTAAGTAAATGAGCCAAAGTAGTTGTGCCTACGTGGATCTTGAGTTTGATAATGTGTATCAAATACTTGTAAATGTATTTTTTTCCAGGTTTCATTAATAAAGTACCTGAATATACAGATTTTTATGGTTTAGCAGTTCAAAGAAAATTAGATATTAAAGAAAAATCTAATTATCTCACAATAATTAATTTCTTTGACTCCTAAGAAGGGAACGTTTTCTTTATATAATTTTGGGGACAGTATGGGTTTGGCAGATACATTGGTTGAAAAATATCTGAGCTCATTACTTTTATTGTTGTTCAGTTGGAGAACTTCCTTATAACTTTGAGTTCCCCACCAACTTCATCCCTTCCTCATCTGCCACATTACCCCAACCCTAAAACAATACTCACTTTCTTCTCTGACTTTTCATCTGCCTTTTAACTTGTGTGCTTCTTTAAGGGATGGAGAAGAGGAATGACATTAAGCAGTGTACCCAACACAGTCTTCTTTGGATCTGGTACTGCTGAACATTTTAAAATTGCAGATCTTTATTAGTCTTTTTATAGGAACATAACTTCCTGGATTGTAACTTTATCTGACACCAAAAATAGCACTGTGTTGTAGATAATTAGGTTGAAGTAATCTTTCCACTAAAGACTGGAAAGAAATTGATTACGAGTTTATGACAGGTAGAGAAATGGGACTAGGTCAGAATCTCAGAAACAGTGTTGCTGCTGTTAGGTGCCATCGAGTTTCTTCCAACTGATATTGACCCCAT